ACGTCTTTTTATAAGACAGTATAAAAATAAGGCCCAGTATCTTAATTTGAAGATGTGCACTTTTACGATGTAATTAATTCAACAAGAGCTGAGCTGTTGCATTTCACTCCCTTCCCATTGAAAGCGGCCGTCGCTGAGGCCAACGTCAGTAAGCAACAAGTTGCTTTACACCGCGGGAGTTCCTTCCTCATTGAACTCGACAACAGTGGGGCTAAGACACGGGTAATTATTTATGTAGCAGCATTGAAAACGCAGACAGTCGCATCTACAGGGAAATATGAAAACCTATAATATTATGCATCTTGTAGCTTATGATTAATCACAAACGTGTGGAGCTTGTAGCTTCCCAGCAGTCTGCCTACACTCGTTATTAGCGACTGTTAACAATTATAAAAATTAAACACAAGTTTAAAAACAGAACTTTAACTAAAGATGGATGTCTTCTGGGTTATTGCACCGTGTAGTCTGGTAGAATTTTACCGACATTACTTGCTGCCTCCATCATCAGGACACGTTATCGGCCTAAATGACAACAAAGCGTTACAGCTGACAGCAGAGAGAACCTAATAATTTCTCATTGTTTTCAAGTTAGGCTTTCCATGAGTTACTCTTCCCCAACATTTCAGCCTGATCTGCCTCCTCAAACTTCTTTACACAACGAACCCAGTAATACTAACTGAAGACTTCCAATTATGAAGTTTTCATTTATGTAATTTTCCTCTTTAACCTGCAACGATTTTCCTGAGCACTTCATTTACAAACGCCTTTGTTCTCTGCTCGTCCCTCATGCTGAAAGACTAAACATCACACACACATAAAGTATCACTTAAGCCTGTGATTACAGTTTTATACATTTTAACCGCATATTTTGTGTTTCTTGACTGCAAATACTATATGTTTTCCAAAATTTTTTAAAGTGGCTGCTTTTATCTGTTTGTGTGTTCATACACCTATAAACTCAGAGGGGTTTAATTGCATACACTTTCAAAAAAGTGCTCGTAATTCTCTACTATCTACAAAATAAAGCGCCATCATGATATCTATTATTACCTTCTGTAGTCGTACCGAACAGAGGGAGTTACTGGATTTAACACCTCACATAATATGCTCTTACACATTCAGGCTTCAGATAATATGTACACTAGTATAATTATAAGGCAAATAAGCTGTATTACAATAATCAAAACACTTTCGTTCTTATCAGAGGGATAAATAGTGTAATATTCCAAGATTCTCTGTAACGTAATGTGTACAGAAACGCATTGTTTTCCAGGTATCGAAATTTCTTATCTGTGAGACATAATGACACGCAGAGTTGACTAATGCCTTTCGTTGCTGTAGTCTATCTGTGTTTCAAGCCACGACCCTCGTTGTTTGCTGTTGAGGGAGGAGACGAGAGGTTTATGCTTACCCGCATGGCAGTTACAGTACTCTGCCCTCACCCGACACTTCAGGTCAGAAATAAATACCAGCTCTCTGCACCAGCGAAACGAAATTCGCCAACTTACGGCCTCTAAACCAACCTATTTCGGTCGATGTATCTGCTCTGGGTCTTAATCCTGTTTGTTTCTACGTTTCTTGCTAGTAAGTGAAAGGAGAGAGTATCAGAATTTGTATTAATGGCTTCAGTCTTGGTCTACGGACCTCCAACCCTAAATGTCGCCTTTCTGTTGCAACGTTTATCACGGGTTTAGAACCAATGGCTTGTGAACCGTAGATGCTCCAGTAGTGCCTTTAAGTTCGCTCTCTAGGTCATTTTGAACCGACAAGGACAGTAGAACGTTTCGCTTTTTGAGAATACTTTTCATTTCAGCATGTCATCTCAGACTCTGAGATCAGGGCGATGATTGCCCTGATGATGAAGGCAGCAATTACCTATGAAACATCAGTAAACTTTTACCAGACTACACGGCGTAACATCATAGAAGACAGTCATCTTCCGTTTCTAGAGTAAAATCTCTACACCAGATTCATGGCTGCAGTTACAGACTAAACATGGTAGTTACATGACTTCCCATTGTAAGTTCGTGTTACAACGCCTGATTTACCCCATTAACATAACCTGGCTTCCAAAACACAAAGCAGACTACAACCGAATGTAAATTTATGGTCTGTGGTCAAGAGACAGGTATTCGTACACATCTTTAGATTCTTAACGCCCTTAACCTCAATTTATAACGTATTTATTTATATGGTTCTATAATACTGATACGCACAAGTATCACAAGTACCAAATTCAGGAAAAGAAAATCAGCTTTCAAAAACTCCTAGCATATCAGGTATCAGGTTTGTTTATTTAAAATGTGTATACAAATATAATTAAAAATTTATAAGTGAACACCAGGTTCAAGTTATGGTTATACTAGGTTACAAGTACGTGGGATAGAGGCTCTAAAGCAGCGACTATACATCGGCTGAAAAATTTGGAATTATACACCTTTATTCTGGCACAAACAAATCCCTTAGAGCTCTTTCTAAAAATAATTTAAAAAGTCTAACACTTTTATTAAAATTCGTCGGGGAATTCAAATATATACGGAAGACGATCAGGCTAGACGAAGTGATATATTGAGTTGAGTTTTATTTCTTTTACGTTCTAAAACTTCCTCTACACCTGGCAAAACACCAAGAAACACAAATCTATTCATGGTGGAACAGCGGACCAGTGCGGAGTAAAAAATTAATAGCGATCGTGCCGTAATTAATGCTATAAATTTCAATGGCGAAATAAAGAAAGGTAAATAAAGCAACTGAACGCATTGTCGTGTACGCATCCGCACACTCTGATTGTCAGTAATCATAATGTAAACGAAAACATGAAGGGGAGTCGGTTATAATTTGATATTACACTTAAATTAGATGGAATCGAGATTCTAGTGTAGTCTCTGTAACCCATTATTGGTGCAAACACGTTTTTACTAAGATTTCTGTCTTCTGGGTTGTTGCGCCGTGTAGTCTGGTAGAAGTGTACCGACGTTTCAGAGGTCCATCACCGCCGTGAAAACCTCAAATCCTACCTTTTCATTAGCCACATACTCTAAATATTAATACTGTTACACTTAAATTGCTGTATTATTTTAAAATTACGTGTGTTTATGTAATTAAAACATACGCAGGCCCAGATTGGCTTATATCAGGGGTTTCCAAACTACACTCCCGCTGAACACCGGTGTTTTGCAAGCTGGATCTACGTGTTCCGCCACTGAAATCGAGAAATGGCTTTCTTTTCTCAACTGGCATAAAATATAGTTAATGGATAGTATTTCCTAAATTTCAAATTTTTGTGTAAAAGCCGATGGTCGGGCAGGGATTCAACTAATTCCACCCGTGTCAGTTGTCATCATTGCTAACAATCAAATTTCTGTAAAGATTTTCAAGTGTTCAGTATATCTGGCTGTAGTTGAATAAATACCTTAACAGGGAGCTCAGCAATAATTTCGATTCCCAGCAGACAAAGAGGGCGGCAAGAAACTGAGAAAGGAGGCTGACATCGCATCAAGAAATGCGGTGGTCGCTCTTCCACATCAGAAGACCCGTAGCAGTAACTGCCTACACGAGAATGCGGCTGTGAGCTCAATTCAACACACACACACTCGCTATGCTGAAAGCTTATTCACCAGAGAAAATCTTTATTCGGTTCGGGGAGAGAGTCCATATTCGAAAATTGTAATGTTCTCAGCGAAGCAGAGCTTTCAATAAAACTTTCATAAATATAAGTGTACCGGCATGTCTAAGAAAAATACACTCTGGATACACAGTCCTTTACACGGAGATATTTCTGCGGTTTTCTGTTTTCGTCCAAGCAGCTGAGTGCTACCAAATGTCATATTACACACAAAAAACACGAAATCACGTTCCTTGTAGAAGCGTTACGGTCCGCCGAGAGAACAGAACGACGACCACAAATGTATGGACTCTACCCTAAAGTACTTTAGTTTCATACACAAGTCAAACCTGGCCCCAAATAAATATATTAAAACAATCTTTCCATATTAGCGTTTGACTCCCCAAAACAAGTTTCCTTGTATTTAATTTCCGTCAGTGTTCTTTCTGATTTATTCTTGTACAGTCAAGTCTATTTATGAGTTACGTGTAGTATCATTTTACAGATTTGTTCCCTTGCATGAACGAAAACGATGGACGTCAAAATACTTTCTATTTGCAGCACTTTATAATCATAAACTACCACTGTTTATGTAATATGTCAGCTGTCAAATACAAAAATCTCATTTTTCCAATCCGCAGAGCAATACAATATGAAGTGCAACCGATTACGATTCAACGTTTATTCGTCTGCTTGATGCCGCAATTAAGTCACGAGAGGAAATGTTACTTCCATCCGATGTATACACACTGGGATACCGGGAACGACCCGTTCTTCAAGTGCCTGAGTACTGCGGGTCCCAACGTTTCGTTGGCTCGATCTATAGACATTTTGTATGACTCCTTAGATGAGTGATCATCCCGTCGCAAGGCCTCTACCTGTACACAGGACAGCACAACACAGAAAAACGCTGACAAACATCCATGGCTTGAGTGGGATTCGAACCCACGGTCCCAGTGACCAAGCGGACCACGATATATACATATATTTTATAAATACGCCCTTTGTTAATTTGCATTGTATGCTGATTTTTAGGCTCATTTATTGCAGATACTATTGCTAGAAATGTAATCTAGTCAACAATATAGAAACTGCAGTACTTCTCACGGCGACGAGGATGAAGATGGCCATCTTATTCTGGGAAGTAGGCAGTAAGCTCTTCTGAAACGTCGGTCAGTATCTACCATACCACACGGCACAACATTCCAGAAGACAGTCAGCTATATAATTTTTGTTGCTTAGGAGATTAATAATCGTTACTAGAAAAATAAAATATTTTTCCTTTTTGATGTCTTTAAATATAAAAGACACAAAAATCATCAGAGCAAACACCAAGAATTATCTTCTTAAAATCCTTGCTTATTAATTCTTAAGAGACCAAACAAAGTGATCCTACCTGGTTTGATACAACTCATTCCACACGCTGCATCACAGAGGCATTTCTTTTTCTTGCTTTTGCAGTCTTCATCCGACGAGCATTTCCTCAGGCACTTTTGCCCCTGTAGAACAATACACGAAATTTATTACACGTACACACACAACTATATTAATTTATTTATTTAATATAGGTGCAACGGACTTTCCTTCGTGTTTCCTGATTGAATACCTCTACTACCCAATGAACTAAAACAGGCCTGCATATATTTTACTGTCGCATTCTTTGGGCCTGCTACTGCATTCGTCACTGTTACTGTTTTGATGTTCAAATCCAACTCTGCACTTGCAAAGTTAACTGACACTACATAAACTAGGCCTACACTGCACCGAGTTTAACCCAGTTATATAGTTTATCTTCTTCTTTCGTAATCAATCCTAGGATTGGTTGGCAGCAGCTCTTGAGCTGCTGATACTTGGGAAATCCCGAGGATCTTTAATGCGGTGGATTCCCCTTGCCTTCCGCATCCTATGCCGTTGACCCATCCGGGTTCATCCGCCTTTAGAGGTGATTTCTCACCCCAAGGGCATGAGGGTGCCCTGAACCTCCACCCTCCGAAGAGGCTGTTGGCACTTGGCAGAGGGGGACCACTTATACCGGTGGTCACTCGGTCTGTGGACGCAGTTTAACGTCATGCCCGGGACAGATATAGTTTATAAACGTACATAATGTAAATATATAACATTTTTATATGATGTGAAGCTTTCACGGCGACCAAGTATAAAAAATTCTTCTAGGGCTACCAGCTTCATTACGCAACCTTACATGGCTGGTAGCCCGAGAATAATTTATCGTTTAACTTTTTTTTCCACGTTTCAAATAAAAGTTAATAATATTTATATTCAAGCCACACTAAAACTTCCTTTTGTGTTATAAGTCGTTATCGAAAAAAATGATAAAGTTATATTTGGTAATTTTTGTAGACTGGTGGGTTTCAGTGGATTGATACGATCGGAAAAAAATATTATAAAAATTTTTATCTAGCTATGAAAGTTTTACCGATTAGGATTTTTATGGACGTAAGACATACGGAGTGATTGAATAATGCCCTTCATAAAATATGCTGTTTGATCATTAATAGGTAAAACGTTAAGTACGCCTTGGCCCGGTAACGTCTCTATTTTGATTTAAATTTTACAAATGTTTTAAATTTCTTGGACCGCACATATACAAATCTCCTCCGTAAGTTGGCAGTCCAATGCAATTATCTTTCCGTAACAATTACTACGGGGTTATTCAACTACGTAAAGAAAGTGATTCCGACATAACCATCCTTGTTGCACATGAATAGAACGGGAAATGGATTACTGCTGTGTTCCAAGTATTTATACTACAGAATAATAACCCCATTTTTGTTTTTTTAAAGTGTTAGCTTGGCTAGCACGATTAACGCGAACGCTCTGCCCCTGACAGAAAGTAACCAGACAATAAAAAATCCTCCCTCTTTTCGTTTATTAAGCCGCCTAGAAATGAACACAATTTAAATTTCATAAAACCATTGTCAGGGCGTCGTCTTGGTTGGAAAAAAATTTCAACTGTGATCGCAAAGATGATTTACTAGAACATTACTTTGAAAGGTGATGCACGATAATCTGGCACAGAGCCGTACACATGTGTTATCTCTGGCACGCAGAGGTGCGGAGTCTGTGCCTTTGAGGCACAGGTAAACACAACACATCTGGTGCTGTTTGAATTCCGCTACTAACCTGACTGAACTTTTCACTTCTTTCAAAAGCAAACACAATTTGTTTTATTTCAACGAAACAGGTGAGCAAACACAATGGCTATGAGAGTCATCTGTCAACAGGCTCGTCAAATGAATCGGTGTCGAGCCATAAATCAGCAGGACAATATGATCATCTTTTGTTCAGGTGCGTGATACATAAAGACTCTGAGCTGCCACACAATCACTGAGTGATTGACGATGTTTGAAATAAAACGAACTTTCTTTAAAATGGGTGCTTCTTTAAACATGCGACCAAGCATTTGCATGCTACAAGGATGGACAGTGACAGCTGATCGAAATTTTCCTTGCTGTTACCAAACCCCAAGATTAATAACCACCACTACTTAAAGTCAGCATGCAACCCTATCAATGGTCAGTTCAATTCAGTTAACATTTCTTACAATCAGTTTTTCTAACAAGAGTTTGATATTATACTCCCATCTACTCCTAGATCTCCTTAGTGACTCTTTCCTTAAAGTTATCATTTATCACTTCACCTAGTATATTTTATATGTACTGGTTCAGTTCGTAAGTTACTTAACGACGTCATATCAATTGCTGCTGTGATTTAGCGTCAGATGAAGTGAGACGATTGTTACCAAGCTTCCGTGACAAATGATGGGGATAACATTTCTTGACCTGGCTTATAGTAGCAACATTAACCTAGTAGAATTAAAGAAGAAGGATGTCGTCTAGGTTGTTGCACCGTGTTACTGACGTTTCAGAGGTGCTTGTGCCTCCATCATCAAGGCGACAAGTCATAGCCGCTAGGTCCAGAATGGACCTGTGGCGGACCTAGCCTCTAATCCAGTGGTTACCGAGGCAAAGACGGTCGATGCGATTACTCAGCTCGAAGTAAACAGAATGCATTAAACCCCAAATCATGTACGCAGTAACTCCACTCACCAGCAACGTGGCTTGTTCCTCGTCCCGCGGACAAAGAGCCGAAGGTGAGTTGCGCGGATTCTTGTATACTCGTCCGTCATCGTCCACCTCATCCGAAGCGCCGATATCCTCCGCAGAATCGCGAGGAACCGTGCGCTGGGAGCGTTTTCTGGCACCGGCTGGGAACTTGCCTCTCCGACACTCTGCAACAACGCATTGAAATCATTGCTGAGATGGTTAAACGTGGGAGAAGAAAAGGCGAAACTTTCGGATTATCATGTGTTATCAGGATGTATTAACAGTAACGTCACACACACTAGGAAATGTAGGCTTGGAGTAATAATTCCGGTACGGACTGACGGACATTTTTGTAAAATTCGGTTATGATTTACTGGCGTTAAGACCCGTACCACCCGCAACACTGCGTGCCTAAAAGTGCTCACAAAATCGGAAAGCCGAGTCCGAACAATGGCATAGCTAGAGACTAGTTTAAGATGCAAGCTCTAACCAAGAAGAACGACATTCAGAACCAGCTTCTCTTTTCTTCGGTTCTCTGGAAAACAGAGTAGGTTAGCAGGAGTCAGATTCCATTCTGAATACCTACCCGGGGAATGGTTATGCTTAGTACCTTTCTAGTTTTGCCAAGTCCTTGCTGTAAACACCGGAAATTTTAAAAATAGGCCGAAACGCTTTCTTCTGTATGCATCCTGTTTCATCATACACAATAACTGTATATCGTTAATACTATCGCCTATCTCGATCTTGCTACATATTTTGATAGATCAACATTTTCGGATTATACGCCTATATTATAATATTAAGTTATTTTCAATAAATTTATTTCATTGAGTCACTGGTCTTCAACAAAACTTTTTCCTCGGTTCACCGACTTCCTTTAAAAATTTTGATAAATTTCTAGCACTATAAACATACAAGCCTAAAAAATTATGTTGCATTTACATTGCGTTCCATTCAGTTAAAATTCACGGCCCATTTCAGTGTAATCCATTACAGTGTTATCTCATCTTCGTCCAATATCATCTTCTTGGTGACTTTACAATGTAAATATTTTACTTGCTTCTTGGTTCATTCATGAGTGTTACAAGTCCAACTAATCTTAATTCCATCTATATTACATATATCATTATAAATATAACGTGTAAAAGGTACAAATTCTGAATCTAAAAAACTACAAGGGAGATAAAAATATGAAAGGCGGTTTTAATTGACTCAAAGCAATGTTGGTAGCACTAAGTTGATTTTTATTGTCTTTGAAGCATTGACAATTCTGTGGTACGTTTAACATAACTGCTCCGTTGATAGAATGCATCACAGAACAATAATCTGTGATTCAATTTTATAGACAAAGGGGGTGGAAAGTAAAGACACTTACGGAAAAAATACTGTTACAGTGCAGAACGCGCGAGAGGTTAAGTTTATGAATGAATTCAAAGTTGGGCGGACGAGAGTATATGATGCACGTTGTGTGTAACCAGTGAATGTAACATGTGTTCAGGTTGAAGGGTAGATTTCTCACTGAATCAGGAACAACCGAAGAATGGACAATGATGAAATGTCGTCCGAACTGAGCACGATGACGTGATAAATGACGCGAATGTATGAATTATGGCTGAACCGAGAAAGCGCTATTCTGCCAAGACGAGGTATCAGATATGTTAGCACGTCTTGGCGTAGGCTACAAATTGCTGGTACAGGAAATTGTTTCCCCGGACCTCTGAATCTGATTACCCTGTCAAAAACAGTGAAATACCGACCACATGTTGAGATCATATCTTGTAATTAACAAGATGTAACGAAAAGAAGTCTTCCGATGTATCTCGTCTCTTCTACTTAACGACATTAGCACATGTTCTGATAAATTTTAAGAGAAGAAAGAACACTGATATTCTATATTGTTTTCAATTATTGTACACGGTTCAGACTTCGTACTTCTGAAAATCAAAAACTTAACATACGAAAATTTAAGCCATTTTTACATGCACTGACTTTCCTACAGAACAGATGACCGAAAAATTGGCACTCGTGCTTAATAATGGAAGTACGCAATTTTGCAAATGAATTTGGAAACTACAACCTCAGATGTCTGTTCCATCATTCTACAGCAGCTTAACACAGAAAATATGTATTCGGTGTTTTTACCAAAACAAATTACGCCTATTTTTATCATGATTTGTTATCGTCATAACATATTCTTTACACACAGCCCCATAATCACATTAAAAGTACCTCCATCTTTCAACAGTTCTTAGCACATGTGTGTTTTACATAGAATCCATCAGTTTCAGGTACGGGCAGCGGATAATTCTGATGATTACACATCAAAAGTTCGCATGATCCATTATGACAGCGCTGAAGATCCGTTTTTACAAAAAATGTGTCTGAATGGTTTTCATACCGAGTCACTAACTCCCATCAGCACGTCCTTCGGGTAATGGATGTGTTATCCTAACATATTTGAGAGAAATGTGAGTGCATTACACAAAAAAATAATTTCAATGCAAGGATGTGGTATAAAACAATGGAGAAAATGTTCAAAATAACAACAAATTATATTTAATTGATTTACTATCATGAAATCAACAACATTTTACGCACAATAAAATCCAAAACATACGTCAGCAGCCGAAACACAGAAACTAGCAATAAAGGAAACATGAGTATTGTATATCAAATCTAAAACTTCTTGACGATGGTGAAGAGTCAATTGAATAAAATTTTTGGATATTATCCATCGTCTAGTAAATATAAAACGTAAAACGACGTTTCGGAGATGGGACTCCGGAGATAGGGATTAGCTCTATCTAGTGGGCCCAACTGTGTAGGAACCTGAAGACGGAGATAGAGTCCCATCTCCGAAACGTCGTTTTACGTTTTATATTTACTAGACGATGGATAATATCCAGAAATTTTATTCAGTATTGTACACGATGGCATGAACAAATAATTATTAGTTAATTATCAATGGTGGTCTTATGGATTTAAACGTCGCGTTGACTTGCAGGTGATACCAACGTTTCGGAGGAAAATACTGTTTTATCTCCTACCATCTTCGCGTTACAACATTGAAAACTAATACAAACATTTTTACCGCCGTGAGAATCTAAATGTATTAGTTCGGCTAGGTAAGTACCACTGAGACTGACAAATCAACCTTCCTACTCTCACAAAGAGCACATTACTAAATAGAGCAGCAATGTGTTAAAAGCGAATTTTTATCACATAAACCAAAATGTCGTTTATATATATATGGATTTAATGCTTTGTGTACATGTGCGACACATGAGGCTTTAAAGTTTTTGCTAAAATGCTCGAAAGCGGTCAAGCTCGACAAATTACAATACAGGGCTGTTAACTCCACTGTCATTAATTACCGCCTATCGATGTTACAACAATAAACAAAGGTTATATCGCAAATACATAATACTAAAACTCCATTCGAACAGATATAACCAAACCACAAATAACTATTATCAAATTAATAGAGGTACACACAACAAATCATCATACACTGTAATTGCAAGCATGAAGGCGTAACGGTACACACACAAGCAAGACCTGATCTCGTAAGCTCTGTCTCTTCGGCAACTCAAAAGGACTAGGTATGAGATTAGCTCGACCGGGCGGGGCCCAACGGATTACGTTTTTGTCCTCGTTTTACCAGCAGCCATAAGAAGAAGAAGAAGAAGAAGAAGAAGAAGATGAAGAATCAGCCTCCGAGTCGTTGTGGTTTTTTAGCATCTAGACGAAGCACAAAGCCAAAAATAAGAATTTAACACAAGAGGTTCTGCTTTATTGTGTTCGGCTCTTCGTCTCATTTGTTGATAAGTCTCTTACGCGATCCTTTGCTTGATTTACACATATTTAGAAATCTACGATAATTTAAATAAACCCACTAGAACAGCTAACCATCTCTTGATTGTGGTCTCCTGTTGTGAATCATGAGAGACTTGGGTGAGAAATGGCCACTGAATTTTGCTTACGAAACATCTCGTTCAAGCTCGCAAGGTTCTTTTACATGCCGTAAGTCTACGACATGGAACCACCTGCTTTACTTCTCCTCCGAAGAAAGTTGTGCTATAGATTTTCATCACCCTTAAAAATCCGTCAACCTCGGCCGGGTTTAAACCCGCTATAAGCACTTATATTCCTCATTATCAGTAAACGTTAACACGACCATTGAGATACTAGTGAATAACCACGTAAAAAGGTCACAGAAGC